ACTGGGGGGGCAGGACATGGGGCTGGCTGGGGGGCAGAGCTCCCAGCAGGGGGCGCTGGGGGGGTGGGGCAGGTCGCTGGCTGGGGGGGCTCCCAGCGGGGGGGGTGGGGGCTGTGGGGTGGTGCTGGCCAGAGCCACCCTCCCACCCGCTCTCCATGTCAGGCTGCCAGTGCCATCCCCAGGGGATGGTGTCGGACGGGACCCAGTGCGACCCCGTCAGTGGCAACTGCTTCTGCAAGCGCTTGGTGACCGGCCGAAGCTGTGACCAGTGCCTGGTGAGTGCCGGCCCCATGGGCAGCGCCGCCCCACGGCATCAGCCCCAGGCTGCTGCCTCAGCTCCTCAGGGTGTGTCACTGGCTGGGGGTGCCTGAGGGCTGCTCCACTGGACCCCCTTCCTGGGGCTTATACACCCTTAACCCACCCCCTAGACACTTGAGTAACACAGGGGAAACTGAGGCACACCCACAGTATTCCGTCACACCAGGGGGCAGGGGCTAGGCCGACTGGGTGGGGCTGGGCAGGGGTCAGGCGGGTCGGGTTGGGCGGGGCCTGGCGGGTCGGGCCCAGCTGAGTAGGGGTCAGGCGGGTGGGGCAGGGCCGGGCAGGGGTCGGGCGGACCGGTCACTAACACAATCTCTGTCCCCAGCCCGAACACTGGGCTCTCAGCCACGACCTGCTCGGCTGCCGCTCATGTGACTGCGACGTGGGAGGTGCCCACAACAACCAGTGAGTGGGTGCTGGGCCTGGGGCCCACGGCCTCACCCATGGACCCGTGGGGCTGGGGAGCTGCTCACGGGCGGGTCAGGGCCACTCTGCGGGGCGGTGGGGGTCACACCCTTATCTGTGGGCAGCAGGGCCCGGCGCTCCCGCTCTGACGCCGCTCTGCTGCCAGGTGTGCCGCCGAGACGGGGCAGTGCCACTGCCGCAGCCACATGGTGGGCCGGACGTGCAGCCAGGTGGAGCCCGGCTTCTACCTCTCCCTCCTGGACCACTGCACCTACGAGGCGGAGGAGGCCCGGCTGCGCCAGGTGAGGTGGGCGAGCCCCGGCGTTCTGCCGCCAGCGCACGGGGTAGGGCTGGGCCTGCCTGGGGAGGGCCCCCTGGGGAAACCTGGGCTGGGGGGGCGAGCCCCCAGCAGCACCCGCAACATCTGGGCCAGGGATCCAGAGCCCTGGGAGCCGTGGGATTGGGACTCCGGCTGTCTCTGAGCCCAGCTCCCAGGCCGGCCTGGGGCCCAGCCCTGCCCTGCCCCCGGCTGCGCCCGCTCAGCACTCAGCAGCCAGCGGGGAGAGCGGGGCCAGGCTGGGCCCCCTGGAGACTGGCGGGAGGAGGGGCCATTCCTGATGGCTCCTTCGCGGCAGGGCGTGGTGGTGGAGCGGGCGCAGCCCACGGACCGGCCAGCCACGTGGACGGGGGCAGGGTTTGCCCACGTGCCAGAGGGCGGGGCCGTGGAGTTCCTGATCAGCGACGTGCCCGCCTCCATGGAGTACGACGTGGTGATCCGCTACGAGCCCCAGGTGAGCCCCGGGCCACTGCCCCCCCCCCCCCCCC